CTCCAATCTGGCACGATTAAAATTACGAAATAATTGTCACGACTTTTCTACAATATATCATTTTCGTTATAAAGGATGATAAAGGGAGAGAGAGAGAGAAATTAAAGGGACAATGATAAACCTTGAATGAATCTCGTTCGGTGATCAAAATAGCTTTCGAATCAGTGGCGCCAGGATGATCAGCAGAAATTAGCATAGGCAATTTGTATCTGACTATAAATAACGTGTTCACCGTTATAATTTATGCGGAACGCCATGTCACCTATCGGAATCCACGCCGATCGTATTTGTGGTCGGAATGAGATGAATAGTCGCTTAAACTCGTTGATCAAGAACAACGTAACCATTTACAGGGATCCGAATATTTTTATTGTTTTCTCCATAATCCTGTAGGGTACGAATTTATCAATAAATGGTCTACACAAGATTTCCAGTAGTAGCAGTAGATACCTCAACGATGTTTGTAATTAAACGATCATACGTTCCAAATGCAAATCGAATCATTTTACAACGATACATTTTGTTCGTACTGTGTATACGATTAATTTGTGATACGCGAGCGTATAATCGACGGTCAGCTGATAATGCTACCACATTTTCTGTTGAAAGATATTCACCATTTTATGCGATCAGAATAAATAGCTTGTGCAGCATGTTATGCATTTTATAAAACACAACTTTCTATATATTTACCTTGGTAAATAGATGTTACGTTAAGCGATGCTCTTATGACGTGAAAATCGATAAACCATATACGTAGTCAATAAAATTCCCATTATGTGTAGGGTTTTGCAAAATCAGAAAAGTCTCAATATCTTCTTGCATAAAATAACCCTATTTTCTTATCGAGAAAATTGTTACGATATTATTAATATCAGTCAAAAGTTTATGTATCTATCGTGGAAATATCGTAATAATCGTGGGTTGCGTTTATCGATGCGATGAGCCGAATAAAAAATAAAAAATAAAATAGGATATTCCGTAGATACCTACGGGATTTGCAAAAAGCCAGGTAAATGTAAAATAAGTACGCTCGTGTTTCTCTCATTGACTTGCGTTTACGCGCAATCGATGCGTTTTGGCCGTTCTACGTTGGGAACGGTGTTTGTGTGCGGTCGTTACCGCATAGGTACACGTCGAGTACATGCGAGAAATATAATACATATATTCCCGCCGTGTCATTGGAGTTAGAAAGATAAAAAGAGAAAGAGAATATGAAAAAGGGGTGAGTTAGGGAAAAGTAGGAGAGAGAGAGAGAGAGAGAGAGAAAGAAAGGGAAACAGACAGAGGAAGAGAAGGCAAGTCCTCCGTCACGTACGAGTGGGATAGGTCCGTATGATATGCAGCCATTTGCATACATATAGGGTCATTATAAATATACCGACTCCCTACAGCCTGTCTCTCCATCGTCCAGCCCATCAGAAGCAGAGTCGCTCGCAAACTGTCCGATGGTTCCGCTTATCCGTTATTGTGCCACCATCGTCGCCGGCGTACCATCGGCATCTACGTTTTTACGTACGCTATGCAGTAACAGAAAAATTGTCTTACTCGGATAATAAATAAAAAAAAAAAACAAATCGAGAATCGTGTAAATTATTTCATCAATTTTACCATAAATGTCTTTCGAATTTAGCTTACTTTATGCAATAATATGATAATTAAAACATTCATTTTATAGGTGACACTTTGATTAATTGTATAAACGAAATGTTTAGATACGTAAAATTGAATGATAAAAGAAAGAATTTTAATTGGTAGACTATTAAGAGAAAAGAGAAATTCGTAGGATGTGTCTTTTGAGGGAAAAATCGAGAAGATTTCGTCTTTAGCTTCCGACAAGTGCACGTTACGATGCCGAACGTTTCCAGTGACGAATGAAGCAAAGTCTTAATGGTGAGTCTATTTTTCACGTAACGTCATAGACTCAAGGGGGGTCGAATTAGAAAAGCACGAGTGACCGAACGAACGAGAAGACACATACAAGTAAAAATTGTGTGTGACACTGGTGGCCCTGTGACTATAATCTTCCAACTCTACTGGCGTTATATAATGCGAGCCTATGGTGCATCCTATTAACATATTTCCCGAGTACCAACGAGTAGTAAACTCTTTTTCACGTATACGCGAGCACGAAACGGTGCTATAAATGGTACGTTGATGGGTTTGCACGAGCGTCAACGTGAGACGCGAGTCGGAGTTAGGGGTAGGTAACGCATTACAAATGCTAATGGGAAGTGCATAGTAGATGTTCCGCATAGAATACATTACCGTCTCGCTCCTCAGTCATTAGCCGAGAATGTACGAAACTCTAGAGTGTGAAATGTAACCGAAGAAGCGTCCCTGTATTTCAAAAAATCATTGCATTTGATTCTAGAAAGATGAATCTCTGAGCTCAGATCTGAAGATCTTACCAACGTTAACGCAATTACTCGATAATGATTTTCTCGATATATTCCCTTCGATTCTCAACGGTAAAACGATGGTCCAATTAGAGGGACGAGGTTTTTCTTCAACGTCGACAACCGCGAACAATTTTTAATTAGGAACCACGACAAAGTGAGAAGAAATAACGGGCAGCGATCGATCCCTCGTCACCAAAACCACAGGCCACTGCTGCCTGTTTCAGTGCCCTCTTAGTCAACCAACAAACTCGACGAGGGAAAAATTAACTCGTAACCTGGGTGAGGGTAAAAATGCTAAAGGGGAAGAACGTAAAGGACGTAGTACTAGGTGCGAGGTATGCTTTGCTCGTGAAAACACTGAAATAAAATACATGAATTTAATATCCTCTTAGATATAATAAAAAAGAAAAAAAAACAAGAAAAAAAATAGAAAATAAGGAAAAATTCGTTCAAGGGAACGTATTTTAAAGAGGGTAAAACAGATGAGAGAAAGTAAAAAGGTGGAAGCAAGTAAAAGGTGTAGAGGAAAAAGAAATGTTAGAGGTGGGAAGGCATTTACCTACGTCTTTTTTCATAAGTTCTTTAGAATCCAGACTGCCAAGAAGTTCTTCGTATAGTTATTTCCAAGAAGGAGGCATAGAATATTACGCTTATTATTTCATTGAGCAAGTACTTGTGCACACCTACATAATACATATGCTTGGATATATTGTATGTACACCTATATATGTGTATAAATCAAATATATGTGGGACGTATATAGACGTACGCATTTTTGAATACTTCGACTAAAATTGCAACTCGTAAATGCTCACTATTCTCCTCGCGTATAGAACACGTAACAATACATATGCAAATGCTTAATACATTACTTTCGTAGTATCCCAAGGAAGTGACGCCAAAAGTTTTCGACGTGGTCTGAGAAATTGCAGTAATTCGACGAACGATCTTCCATTTTGCGAGAAGCTGTTAGTCACGCATCTTTAAATTGATGAAGTCAAGTCTAATGGAAATCGCATTATTAAACATGAATTTGATTAGATGAAGAACTTATCTATTGTTAATAAAAATAAGTAAACTATCAAATAAATCAATGTAACGCTTTATTCGTTAAATTCGAGCTTCATTAATTGTCATCAAGAGAAAATATACCGTCGTTTTATAATTTATCCCATTACAATATCATGAAGCAGGCTGAAGTAGTACAAGCTGTATAATTGCTCGTAATTATTTCATTCTTAATAGCTCATTTAAATGGACGTACGGCATTATGCTTCCCTATTCTACGAAGAACTTTGCTCTTACCCTTTCCCCAATATATCATTCTCAGGAGCAAAACAGCGAGATTCGTTGATACGTTTTTTATCGATTACTTTAAACAAAAGATCCCCCTTTTCTAGGTTTTGTTTTCTTTGTATTAGAATTTATTGATAATGAAGAAAATGAAAAGAACTTTATAAATATAGAAAGAAAGGAAAAAAGATCCGAAGAGAAGCAGTATCGGGACTCAACTCGCGAGTAGACGCTTTGCGCGCCCTCGGGTCTCTCTCTCTCTCGAGATCGTCCGACCTACCCTCTCTTCGAGCGCTTCAAGCGAGAAACGAGGGAACGAGAGGCAGACCACCCCTCTCAGCCGCCCTCTCTACCGCCCACCAGCCCCTCCATCCAATAGACCACCCCTCCAGTTACCACCACCTCTTCTCTTGCCGGCGTCGTCGCTGCTGCCACCACCACTACCACCACCATCGTCACCGCCACCGCCACCACCGCCGCGATACATTGCGATACACGGTTCTTGTCTCCACGCTGCCTACCTACGTGCAGGACACGGCGCTCCAAGTCCACAAACCGCCCGCTAGCAGACACACTATTAGAACACCTAGACACACCGTCACCTTTCTATATTTCTTTTCTCCTCAGTATACCTACCTATTCGTCGACCCTTTTTAATATCCAACGTCGACACGACCCTCCTCACTTCTCATCGAGACCGTTCGACCCTGATACCAACCCCCAACCAGTACCATCACTACTACCACGATACAATCGTCACCACTACTGCCACAACCACCACCACCACAACTACTACCACCACCACAACAACCCAATACCACTACCACCACCACTACTTCTACTACCACCATCGAAACACACCGGTACAAAGCAGCAACGCCAGCCGTAAACACAACAACGCTCTTAGAAGACGCACGCGTACAAACAAGCTACCGTTAACCAAAGAAACCGATTCCCTCCTTTTCGCGCTTCTTCAAAACTTGGACCTTTCGTCACGTCTTTTACATCGCTAAAGTGATTAATTGTGCGCTCTTCGTTCAACCTTATTGGTGCTGTTGATAATAATAACAACGTTAACCAACATCAAAACGGAGAACATCGAGAGTTACGTCAGTGAATATTATTCAGTGATCTTCGTAAATTGTGTTACTGTGACGGTTACGTGAAATTAAATACGTGATAAAGACGAAACCTATTTCAGTGAATTTTTATGATAGAACCAGTGCATTTTTTCACTTTTTCTTTTCCGTTGCTACTCGAAATCTTAAAATTTAATTTTCAGTTATATTTTTTTTAACAAGTTTAATATTGTATTTCAGTGCCTTAACGAATCGGTTCATATTGTTTTTGCATATTATAAAATTAACAAAATTACTTGTGAGAAAAGTATTCCAATGTCATATTTATCCGACGGCGTTAGTCTTCAGCTCGCCACAGCTATATACGAAAATATATGAAAAAGATATTATAAACATAATTGATCAAATAATTATTAAGTACTAATAATAGCAAGGAGATTGAATTGACAAGTTAATCATTCCTAAAAAGATTTTTGTACGATTTCTCGCATGCATCCTATTGTTCTTTCGAGCATTCCATCGAGGTATCAGCACTTTAAGTAGTACACCCTGAAATAAATCAGACGTGGGAAAGAAATAAATAGCTATCTCTCTATATATACATTCTCTTGAACAATTAGAGTTATTTCTCTTTTTTCCAAGAAACAGAAGGAGGGAGAAGGAAATATATAGGATAAAAAAAGAAAAAGTAAACTCATCGAACTATTGTAACGAACGAAAGAAAGAAAAAAGGAAACGGAAGAGGATAAATATTCCGGCGAGTAGTCTAACCGAAGGTAGGTGCTTGCCACGTGAAACTGGTCGCTATTTCGCCGGGCTAGACGAGCGGCAAAGGCTCGAAACCCCCCGGTTTCCCGCGCACAGTACGAGCGAAGCACACACAACTACCCCGACCAACCAACCGACGAGCCGAGCCGCCGCCACCAACCCCTACACACAACAACTCAACGAAGCATCCCCCACTCTGAATCGCACAACAGCCTGAGCGGAAGTGCTAGTCAGTCGGCGAGCGACCTTCCAACATTACGGGTTAGGTTCCCTCTTTTTCCGCCCGTCGTGTCTTCGTCCTCGTTTGCCTGAACGCGAGGACAGACTCCGTTGCGGTTCGCGTCAACGTGAAAAGGAGAACGGAAATAGCAAGAGAAAGAAAGAGAGAAAGAGAAAGAGAGACAGAGAGATAAAGAGAGGGCGATCACGCGAGAAGATACGTGCCCTCTCGAGGCGGAAAGACTACGGGGGGTTGCCGTCGCTTCATTCATTTTCTATAATAAATCGTCAAACTGACGATGATTATCAACGACATCCGCCGCAACCGTATTTGATACGTCCGTAGAAAGAAGGGTTAAAGGAAAGGAGTATAATACAAAGTGAAAAAGTATTATAACGAATACGACGACGAGTACGATAATAAAAAGGAAAAGAAATATAAATAGGATAATGCAATTTTGATGCAAATCCCAAAGTTTAGTTAAAAAATAAAATCAACTATATATAGGATATTTGTTACGATCGCTCAGCTAGCAATAAGAGTGTATTTCTACTACTACTACTACTACTACTACTACTACTATTACCGATCATCATCGTCATCGATCTTTTCTCGTATACATTCGTATACCGATATATCGAAACACAACGAATAACAATTGTATACGATTATTATTTTTGTTTTTTTAGGAACGCGTGTGGTAAGTCTCTGTGAAAAGATAAACGATATAAACTTTAGAGATGTTTGGTTAATTGTGATACGAGAGCTGTAGTACGTGTTTACGAGAGTAAACTGAATTGCATACCAAGAATACATCGTCGAAGGGCCACCTGTTCGCGAAAGTGAAACCGACGATCGACGAGAATTCCGAGAGAAGATCATTACGCGCGATAGCAATTGAAATGGTGTAAGGATAAAAAAGTGCCGCTATTGTGAACGGGAAGGGAGGATCGCGATAAATCGTTGTTGTGTACTTGTTGAAACGCTCGAGCACGTTATTTTTCCTTTAATACTCCGATAACTGTTTCCTATTCAAAACTCGTGTCGGCGCTATAGTTGAAGAAAGTTTACAAACGGTTGAGAGAAGTCGGTAGTAATAGAAAAAGAGAAAGATTGTAAACGCGTTCGCATTCTTCGTACTCCCGAGGTTTCCGTTCACCGACGCTTCTCACACTGCCTCTTCCGGAGATTGCGATCGGAAGCAACCCCTGCTCGACCACGTGGTTATGAGTAAGCATCAGAGGCGCCGTGACTTCTACCGGTGAACGCACACGCTTAGACACCTCGTCTACCTTTACACTCGGACTAGCAACGAAAATCATATCGTTCTGTTTATTCGATATTCATACGTCTGAAATTCATTGGATCATTTTATCGCGATCATAGAGTTTGTGCACGGTTATTAATTTTTGAGCACGATTCTTCGAAATAATTTATTGACGCGTCGAAGAAAAGTGTCCTAAAGGTCCGAGTTTGTTAAAGCTGGAAATAAATTAATAAGTTTGCTTAGTGAAATAAACGTAAAGAGATTACGCATAAGCGATCGAAGGTGATCAAGTTGGGAAGAAAAGAAAGTAGCAAGATCCCGGCCGCAGGGGATCCCGAAAGGAAGGAGGGTACAGCTGAGGTGGTCCAGTCCGGCTTAACGATCGGTGTCAGGAGGCCGAATCAGTCAGGCAATTCAGGAGGGTGGGTGCAGTGGTGCAGTGGTTGCAGGAGGGCCAGCGAGGTTGGGGTGGCCTCGTCTACAGGCGCGTTGCCACCAAGCGCACCGGGCCCCGGGGCTGCGGTGGTGGGCTGCCTGCTTGGGGTGTACCCGTGTTCTCCCTCCTCCACGGGGCCCAGGGGGCCCCTTACTCATCACCACCTTCAGGCTATACCGGCACCACAACAACAGATCGGCTGCCGTGCCTGTTGCTGCGCGCATACCAATCACCAACCTCCTTCAGTTCAGCTTACTAGCCAACGGGGCGGCCTATCGCTGAGGGTAGCGAGGGTGGCGTCCACCACCTCCGTCCGAGCCGCCCCCTACGCCCACCCCCAGCACCAAGGGCTGGGGCAGGAGTGCAGGTAATGATAAATCGCTAAGATACATTCCTACCTTGACTTCGATATCTCTATATATATTATACATATATATAAATATATATATTTATATATACATATATAATATATATATATATTACTACTTTACTATTATCATCACCAAATAATACTACTTCTACTACTACTATTGTCGTCACTACCACTACTTCTACCACCACATCCGTTACCACTGTTCTTCGTCGTCGTTCTCGTCCTCGACGTTGATCGATAAGATAGAATCCTAATAAAAAAATAATAACCAAACAAAAAAGGCAATAATACGTAGTAGCACGTCGCAAAAGTAAGATTAAATCTAAAATTAGAAAGTACAAGTTTTAAATCAAAAGTAACTAAAAGATAAAGTTAAAAAAAAACAACAACAATAAAACAAACACGATCGATGGACTAAAAGAGCTATCCAAAACCAAAAACGCACGAAAAAGGTGTAGGGAGGAGACGGGGGCATTGGGTGGAGGTGGTGCGCACATCCTCGGCAGCCCGATGCTGTTCGTCCCGTTCACGGTGCCCACTTTCCCTGCGACGCACCATCAGACGACTCATCCTGCGCATCAGACGCACCATCAACAGCTGCAGGCCTCCAACCAGAATCCGGTGCAGCAGCCGCAGCAGCTCAACCAGCTGAATCAGCTGAGTCATCTGAACCACCAGGGCATCGTGCCGGCGACAACCAATCAACCGACCGTACACAGCACCAGCTGTTCGCCGCAGCAACAAGCGACTACACCGAACAAGGTAAAAAGACTGCACAACCGCTAGCGTCCTCGCTCGACAGCTACCAACTTTCGCTCGCCGCGTGCTTTTATCTCGAGCGGATCCTTAAAAAAAAAATTAAATAAATAAAAAAGAAAAAAAAAGATTTTTGCAGCAAGTAGGTATGTCATTAACGTAGGTAATTGGTCAGCTTAGATTATAGACGCCTAAGTAAACTTTTACATGCCAAATGTTATCTCGAACACAAGGTAGATCATTGTACGAAACACGTCCTATCACGAATGCTGTGCTCGGTAGAATGCTCCTCAATCATAAAACACACATTATTCCTCCTATGAAGTATCCGTCTGTCGTGTGTGTACGTTTTGCTTTGTAACGAATGTTGCCATATGAAGTAGGTACACATATTTCCTCTGCTACTTATAGTACTTGTATAGTTGGCTCGTATGTTAAGTTAAAGCGGTGATGCGTGTATGATTGTTTGTATGTATGTATGTATGTGTATGTGTTTTAAATACACGTATCAACGAATGAAGTTATCGAATATTACGTTCAAATAAGGACCGAGACAATTTTATGCACTTACCAGCTATGTTTGCTTTTTACTCAATCGGTCACTGTCATTGGCAGTGATTATAAAAATATCACAACAACTTTAATGACTCGTAGATCATTTATCATCCCGAAAACGAAATATCGCTTTGAAGAATACGTATTGCCGGTTGCCTTATGTTACTTTAATTAGTAATGAAATGGAACTAAAACAAATACAAAGAATTGAACGATTGCTCGTGAAAGTAATTTTATCGATTCAAAAGTTTAGGTGAAAGTACAACAAGGCGTACACTTACGTCACATTTGTTAGAATCACTTTTAGTTCCTTACCGAGAGAAGCCGATATTTTGCTAGGATCGTTTCGTAGGAATATTACGAGCACAGTGTATTGACGATAACATCGATCCTGATATAATACGTACTCGAGTATAATCGATACTCATTGCTACGTACATAGGTACATTGGCTACACGTATCGTCTAGCGTATCGCAAGAAGAACAGGAGCAATCGGTATCGATTGTGCATCCAACGAAAGCACTATAGCGATACATATATATTTCTACGATATTTTTCGTTTCCACCAAAGAGTGCAGCCGGCGGGCAAGCACATAGAAAGAGTTCTTGCTTACCGGTATCGGATCGTTTCTTTCATATTTCTCGCTCGTAGCTCCACGTAGCGGGGCGCGCTTTTATTATCCTGGCGTGGATTCAAGTCAATTTTCTTTAGCGAGCTATAACTCGCCTTTCGGATTCTTTCGAAGAGGACTTTCGTTGCGATGACGACGTTTGCCGTAGCGCGTGGTGGCAACGTTGGCAGCGAGAATGCGACTTAATTTCTCGAAACCTGGCACCTCGCGTTAGTAGTCCGCGTTACCCTTTTCCGGGCTAACTCTTCCAGCCCGTTTCGCGTCTATCCCAATCCTTTCCAAACCCTTGTATCGCTTAGCAAGATCGTTCTTACGTAGACCGAGTCAACTTTTGGCGCCCGCTTGGATTTCCGACGAAAAGACACATCGTCTAGTCGACCAAGTTATCAATTATCTGTGTACACCCTGTGAAAGCTATAGGACGCGACAGTTAAACATTGGGAAATAGAAATGAAAAGAAGGAGAAAAAGAGACAGAGAATATAACAAAAAATAGACTCTTTTCTGTCTCAACAATCCAAGATAAAGAAGTTTACTTATTTAAGACATGGGACAAGAGATAATATTTCTCTCTGGATACGCATGTAGGTTAAAAAGATCGTTTTATTTTTAAAGAGATTAATGATTAGGTGAATACTTTTAATTTAGTTTTTCTATTATACCGATTCGTTGATCATCATTTCGTAAAGAGAAACAATATATTTTAAAATTAGTAAGAAAATTCGTACGAGTTTTACAAAGAGATCCCCAACTTCCCGAATAGGAGCCCACTTTAAGAGAAATCGAAGAAGAAGGAAGAAGAAGGTGAAAGAGGGAAGGATAGAAAGGAAAAGGAGAGAAATAGTAGAATTTCTAAAGCGGAGGGAAATAGCTGGCGCGCGTTGGTAAGAGAGAACGAGTATAGAAGGAGCGGGAAGACTTTGAGAGTTGTTCGCGTAACTTTATTAATTAAAGGCCGTTAGTCCTTGTTGCTCGATACACCTTATATACCTGCTACGGTCGTGGCTCTCTTGTGTAAAGAAGACGAGATCCCTCATCCCAGTACGTACCAACCCCTGTTTCTTAGTGCTTCTATATCGACTCTTCTTCGGGTATCGATCATCGTCTCTGTCCATCGTAAATTCCGATGGATCACACTGTAATTTAATAAGATACTATTACGCCTTTGGAGAATCGAATGAATCTTGCATGATGTCGTTGTCTTCCCTTTGCTTTTTCCAGTTCTTATTTTTCTCTTGTTTTTTTTTTTCTTTCCAACTCTCTTCGAACAAACAACGAAATATAAATGATCAAATTCTATTTACATAAGTAATTATTAATTAACAAAATAGCAAGAGCATTTAAACATTTTCATTACATAAATATCTACATTTTTCCTACGTGACTAGGAAATAAACTGACTTATTCTATCGCATTTGGTCTACTTCGATACAATTCTCATACATCCATCAACCATGATGTCACAGAGCTTTGCCAATCCAATTTCGTTTCTTCTTACACGATCGATTCGACTTCATAGATTGTTTTACTTCTTGTAAATTTCTTTCGACTCCTATACTGTTCCTATACGAAGGTAATTTTTTCTTTCTAAGTTTCGGACGTTGGTCTCGAGAAAAAATAACGAAGAGTCTCGTGCCATGTCATTAAAATAAAATTAGCTAGACAAAAGTGAAAAAAAAATGAAAACAAGCGAAGAAACTCATTTTAAAAGTGGCAAAGGGTGTAAGGATGAGGAAAGATCGTGGGGGTAGATGGGGGTGAGGATAGGGAATGTCGAGTGAAGCCGACAAGAGAGGGATTGGACTGTGTAACCGTTTTGAAGGAAAAGAGACGCAAAAGGTTGCTCCTATCTTTCGACGAAAGGGATGACGAGAATAAGCGCGAACGCGAGCTGGCTGTCTGTGCCTGGATGGCTGGTTAATGCGCGCGCGCACGCGGGGAAGATCAAAGCGATGGAGATGATTTCATTACGACACGCCACTCGTCTACTCTGTTGAAATATCAAAAGAGTCGCGGGGGCTCCATACAAGTATGGCAGTCGTTTCCACAGACTCAGCGTACCACGTAGCGTGCCGCCAGTAACTTTCTAGCACAATGCTTTTTCTTATTCGTTTTTTCTCACGAATCACGAAATGAAGAAGGTTTGTTTGTTTTAAAAACGTCTTTTAAAACGTAGAATATTAGTTTGCTTGGTATTATATTATTTGAAATAACGTACGTGTTGAAATTATTAACGTTCAAATTAGATATATTAATTAACAAATGTTTTACTTCGTTAAAGGTAAAATACATTTTCAACGATATTCATCGTCTACGTGTTACATCACAATTATACGCGATCAAATGACTTAAAAACAATTGTTTTATTTAATAAAACAATACAATCATTTATTTTTCTTCTTATCACGAGTACATGAATCCAAACGTAATATCGTCAAAACTACACCGGTCGGTCGATTGTTCTTCATAGACGTTGAAAAAGGATACATTTAAAAGACCATCTAAAAAAAATATCTAAATATACGTAGAGACAAACATAGTACTAGGTCGTACGGTGCGAGGAAACTTATCATTTTTAAACTCGATTAACTTTCTTCACCCAGGCAGATTCGACGATTTTCCGCGGGCGGAATGGTACCGCAACGGCGAGCTCGCGTTTTCCAGGTTTTTATTCGGTTATCTTTCATCGATGCTCCGTCCGTATCGTATTCGTTAAAGGGGTGGCAGAGAATGCCGGAAAAAGGCACGACTGTAGATAGAAAGAGAGAGAGGGAGGAGATGGAACGGGAATAAAGGGATGAGGAACTGGATGAGGAACGGTATTAGGAACGGGATGGTTTGTGAGATGGTGCTCCGCCGATATGGGGAAAGGCTCTCGCGTACGGCTGCACCGCAATTTCGCGGGATTTCAATAGCTTTCTGATATCCAAGCTCTTTCTCTCTCAGATCGATGTGCAACGTCGTTTAGAGTTTTCGCGCGGTCATGGGCACGCGTGCGCATGGTACCAACCGATAAAGAGAGACAGAGAATCGAGAGCTTGAATGAGAAGAACAGAGAGAGGGAGAGAGAGAGAGAGAAAGTAAAAAAGGTATAGAACGAAAACGAGGTGGAGGGATGGGGATACACGGCGAACGGGCAGTAATTAAAACGAAATTCCTAAAAAGGAGCAGCAGCACGCTCGTAATGGATACAACGCGACGGTAACAGGGAGGGATGAGGAGGAGTCTCTCGACGAAGAGAGATAGAGAGAGAGAGAGAAAGAGAGAGAGAGCGAGAGAGAAAGAATAAAGGAGTAGTGGGGAGGTTATCATAAAATTTTACAAATGAGCGTCCCGAGGCTCACTCCCTCGCGCGCTGGCTTACATAGAAGCCAGCGGGCCACGCAAAAATAAAAAAGTATATGGCAAAAGTAGAGGTAACAAAAATTGCCGAATAGCAGCAGAGAGAGTTTCAGAGCGGCCTGATCCCTCCCTTTTCGTTCTCGTTGCTACCCCTTCGCCATCGACTCGAACCCCCTCTGTTACTGTCGCTGTGTTCGCGAACCGCAGATACAAACAAACAGTACTTCCCTACGCGAGAAAAAGAGAAAGATAGAAGTAACAAATGCCGGACATTTACATTTAACAGCCAGGGGTTTCCGAGGCTCACTCTCTCTCTCTCCCCCTTCTTTACTCATAACATCCCTTTCTCTTTTTTCTCTCGTCTTGCACCCTTTCGTTGCTCGCTATCGCTAACGAGAGAAACGAGAATGCTCCTCTCCTGCACGTGCGATTCTTCGGTGGTACTCGCGTTACGTATTATGGTACCAACGGTTAGTG